GAAGAGAACGTGTTGAGTTGCAAAGCGCTATGTGCGCTGGTGAATTTTTCACCGAAGTGAGTGACTGAAGGGTCACCAAACCAAAATGGCCTGCATGGGCCATGTCAGTTAAACAAAGGCCTGAAGGGGCCGATAGGTTTCGAAACAACTTGAAAGCCTGGAGGGCTTCATAAACTTCTTTGAATGGTTTCACGAGGATTTGAACGCCTTCACAAGTTGCGGTAAAAAGGGGCTGAAGCCTAACAATTTGTGGCGGAATCTGGGGAACATCCAGGAGTGCCCCATTTTAGGGAATTTGATTTATTTTAGATGCCAAGTTGGGATGGAACAGACAATTCGAGTGCCAGTGACAGTGAGAGGCTATCACTGCGTGGGTTAGTTTGCAACAGAAAACGGCAAGGAAGGATTGCCTTAGGCGCTAGGTCATACATGACTCATCTGTCTATTGACCCATGTGTTCACACCAATCTTGATCGGTCCTGCTTCCCCCACGAATTCTTGCCGCGGCAGGAGTTGAACGTTGAGATGCACTCGGTGCAGCAGGCCCTGGCGAAGGAGTTGGTGCCCAGGCGAGGGCTTCTCGCGCGGAAGGCGGCGAAGGGCACGGTGGCGCAGGTGAAGCCCCCGGACACCGAGGTCGTTTGATGAAAGGTGGAACATGCATAAGGTTTTCTGCTGGTTGCAATTCTTGGTGTGAAAGGGTCGATTCAGTGCTTGAACCGAATGTCATTCCCAGGTTGCGAAGACCCTAGTGTCTGGTATACACAGGGGTTTCGGAAAACAATATGGAAGAGTACTGTATTGAAAAGTGGCTTTGCCAATTTCTTCGTTTATACAAAAGAGGTTGGAAGAAAACTGTCTCTTCTTTGGTCCAGGAGGCATTGATCATTCCAGTTGTAAGGTGTTGTTCTTCAACAAGAAGTGAGGATCCATGGGTGCCGGGTCAACTACAGAGAGTCCAACAGCCAATTGCCAATTTGTTCAGTCTGGCTTGCTAGATTCGATAGATTGCCAGGCCGCTAGGCCACCCCACGCATTGCTAGGCCATTGCCGCAAACCAGAATGGCGGCCCCGGTGGCCACAACGACACACCGAAGCCACACCGTCTCCACCAGCGGATCCCAAGTGGGGGGTTTGGGGTCACCGAAGCCGGGGGGCGCCCCAAAACGGGACCTTTGACGGCCTCCAAACCAGGCAACCGCAGCTTCCACACAGTCTGGCCCCTACCGGGGTGCGGTGGAGCCGGCATCTTTGCCTTGCTGATGGGCGGGAATGTCCGACACTGTCCGTCAAACCAAGCACCAGATTGTTTTCCAGAGCAACCACAAAGGTTTCAGCTTCTATCTTACTTTGCCAGGATGTATAGTACCGTATGTTGGACTGAGAAAATTCGGTCTTGCATTGGTATATACCACATTTCGGTGCCAGAAAACACCAACACCAATGTTGCTGTTCATCAAGGTTACGTTGGCCCGAAACCACTAAACTCCCCTTTGCAAGGTCTTTTTGGGGTTCAGGCGCCAGCCAAGGCGCTGGGAGCGTCCCGTTGACAACACAGGAGTTTATCATAAACTATATCACTTATCACGAATCATGAGTTTATGATCCATGGTATATGTTCCTTTCAAAGTTTTGTATGCGTGCGGTTTGGGCAGTTTGGGCTCGTTGGATGCTTGACCTCTTTCGCCATGAGTTTGGGTCTGTTTCCAAGACCAGAATCAGAAACAACCAGAATCGTGTTTTCCCTGAGTCTTCTTGGGGCCTGGGGTCTTGTGTTGCTTCTCCACAGCTGTAAATGTCCGAGGCTTTCGTGATCCCAAGCTGTCGATTGGCATCGCAAGCGTCTGCCACTTGGCCACACGTTGTTCGGCCCACGTGGTTCGGGTGAAGGGAGGCAGCTTTGACCCACCATGTGATCCTGCTCAGCCTGCACGCCTGCACCAGCTTTTGGCGGTTAATGGTTGAACATGTTTCGTGGATGGCAAGCATGCAGGCTATGCCCCATTTGTTTGCTTTGAAGATATGACGACTCCTGAAGAGCTTTGGCCCAGGTCTTGGGGAGGCCCATTGAATGGTTACTGAGGCCATAATCTTGTTACTAGTATGTTAAGAGCAGAATCTGCACATTTGCAGAGATGCCACATTTGCAGAGATGCCACCGACAGATGGATGTGACAGAGAAACTGCAGAATATGTTCGCACTCAGAGAAACTGCACGCAATAGTCGTTCACATATAATTCTGAGTGTGAAAGGGTGTCGACAATTCCAGAGAAATGGCTCTTGTAGTATCGTGGAAATATCTTCAGAAGCGGGACATTCATCCAGTTTACAAGACTTCACCAGGCGGTTTTAAGATTGTGGAATGGCGTTGCGGTGCACCATAACCAGAGAACTTTACAGTGGATTCTTCAGCTTGTCACAATGAAGATCTCTTCTGGAGACTGACAAGGGCTTCTGATTGTCAATTGTCAGGAAATTTCCGCGACCTTTCTAGGTACATGCGCATCTCTGTCAAAACAATGATTAACATTGGTCTTCAAAGGCATCAGTGTGATCAATTTCTATGCGGTGAACGGTGAACGGGTATATCAACGCAAATTTATTTGTGGAGAATCCGGACACTCACGAAGCCTTCACCACGGATTTGCTAAGCACGTTACAGCAAAGAGTACAGCTGGCTTCTGCTCCAGTTTCAGTGCAGAATAAATTTGATGACCCTGAACACATGATTTCAGAATCGGAGATTAGGCATGCAAGGACAGTTGCAAAGTATCTAGACATTCCCGAGGACCATCTTGTGCTGCACTGGTGGAATTGTTTTGAGTTGGGTGATGGAAGCAAGGTTCATTTTGACCATTGTGGACCAGCATATGGCTTGCTTGATTATGAGCGCACCATTTGTGGCAATCGTTCACCAGTCTTTGCAATACTTGCGGAGTAAGTGGCACTGCGACCACATCCCAATCAAACTGAGTTTGCACACAAATTTACGATGACAAACTCCCTGAAAATGGATCCAGACTGCCAGCAGGACGATTTCTTCCCTTTTCCTGCGAGAGAGAGAAGCTGAGCTTAGAGGATACGCTTGTAGATATTATTCAGGAAAGTTTTGGCTTCCTGGAACTTCAGAAAGAAGTAGCTGCAGCCCTTGTCCGAAAGGCCATTTCTGATGCGTTGAGACAGGCGCAGCTCGGACCTTTAAATATGTCATTGAAGGGCATTGTGAAGAGGCCAGAACTGAACGGCTGCCAATGTTGAAGCAAATGATACAATACAAGATGTAAAAGCAAACATACAAGATAAAGAAGGAATACCGCCTGAACAACAACGTTTGGAAGATGGAAGAACATTATCAGATTATAATATTCAAAAAGAATCGACATTACATTTAGCATTAAGATTAAGAGGAGGTCAAGAAACAAAACACTTTTTCAGTTATTATATTCTTGTCATTTGTGTCGTGGATGGGCGAGTGGGCGTCAAGCTGGACAGTGGTGAAAGGATCCAACGACAGGCAACGAGAAGCTCGCAACGACAGGCCCTACGAGTTCTCAGTTCCTGAGGTTGGAGGAGATGAACCCGCCTTGAACAAAGGACCAATGGATGGACCAGAGGCTTTATCCTGGAGATATCGTGAGCTTTGAGGGCTTGACGAGTGGACACTTGAATGGGTGCCAAGCCGTCATTGTTGAGGGAGTACGTCCCACAGCTGCGACGGATGAATTGCGAGGTTGTCAAAGTGGAGAGCAGTGTTAAACTAAAGCAGGTCTCATGCAAGAACTTGCGTTTGCAACGGAAGAAAGTCCACACGCAGTCGGAAGAAGCAGGGGTGTTGTTTCATCAGCGCGTGATAGATTCGTGCTCGTTTGGATCTCACAAATCTGACAGATCCTGAACTGCCAGCCTTGGAGTAACTGCTTCAGATGCCTGAAACTTTCATGAGCCCCTCGATGCAGCGCCAATTGACGAAGCGATCAGACTGCACTTCCACGATGCTCCGCGCGGGTCTCCGCAGGGTCTCCGAACGGGGAAGGGACCCTGGTGCGATACCGTTCAGGCAACTCCTTGAAGGCAACTCAGGGCTTCGCACAGTTGTATTCGGAATGTCTCGCCATTTCTTTTTCACACGTAAGGCCTGAAAAGACTGAAGAGGCCTCAAGTCCTGCTGCCGTCCTGCTGCTCCATGAGAGCAACGTCAACAAGTGTAATTTGATGCAACGGTGGAAGAATGAAGCTACAGCAAATGAACACAAGGGAGTCTCTGCCATTTCAATACACGCCCACGTGGACTTCTTCAGCTGAGGCGCCTATCCATCAGATAACCCCTTACCACGCTTGGCCTCGTCCAACCATCGCACCTATGCGAAGCTTCATGGCTATCGCTGCTTGGTGTGAACTGGGCAACGGTGGGCGGCTCGAAGATCAACCACCTGAGAAACCTGTGTTTGGGGATTGTATGTGTGCTCTCATTTGTGGGCTTTTTACGTGTGGTCTCAATGTGTGCTCTCATGTTCTCATGTGTGTCTCCTCATGTGTTTGTGTGATTTGCTTTTGGTGTGTGTGTGTGTTCTCAAGTGTGTGCTCTCATATACGGTATACAGTACTGTTTATGTAATATAGTCATAAGTTATATATACTGTATATTATACAGTACTGTTTATGTAATATGTATATATATATATTATATAATATATATATATACTATATATATATATAAAGCAGGAATGATTGTTGCCACCAACTGGTCGGGTTGTGGAAACCCTCTCTTGTTCTGGTTTGCAAGGACCCTCCTTCGAAGGTGGGCATCAACTGTTTCTCTGCACGGTTTTGTCGTTCGATCCATCTTGCCCCGAGGATATCGCCTGCAGTCGGAGATCGTGGCGCCCGAGCGACCGCCGGCCTGGGGAAAGGTGCGGCTGTTGCAACAGCTTTTGGAGGAGGAGAACAAAAGGGAGGGAGGAGGGAGGGAGGAGGGAGGGCAGGGAGTGCGATGGTTGGATGGAGCAGGAGGGAATGAGAGGGTGCTTTCGGTGCATGGGAAATGTAGGGATGCACCCTCCCTCCAACAAACATAGAAGGTGAATGGCACCCCTGTGTTGTAGAGGATTTCATGGTTTTTGCAGGGGCCATGCTGTCCACTTCCATGATTGGTTCAGGATGGTTCAGGGAGTATATAGAAATAGAATGCAATGTAATGTAATGCAACGCAATGCAATGTAATGGTATGGTATGTTATGATATGTTTGTATGTAATGTAATTCAATGTAATGCAATGTAATGTAATTTAATGTAATGTAACTTAATTTGATGTAATTAGTTACTCTATGTAATGTAATGAGGAATGTAATGTAATCTAATCTAGTTTATCCTAATCTAGTCGAATGCAATGTGGTGTAATGTAATGTAGTGCATCATTGTATTGTAATGTGTTGTATTGTATTGTAAAGTAATATAGGGTAGCGTAACGTAATGCAAGGCAAGGTGATGCATAGTATATAATATATTATCTAGTATCTAGTATCTAGTATGTAGTATAGTATATACAGTATACATTATATAGTATATCGGAATAGTAGTAATAGTAATAATAGTATATATTAGTGTAGTGTTACTATGTATATTTGTGTACAATTGTGAGCCACATGTGAACTTTCCAGGACAGGGCACTGGACAAAGTCAGGCATGCTGCCTGCGGTCTGCTGGTGGATTCAGGGGGTTTCATCTTTCATCTTCCACTCTTTGCGTAGGTTCTGGCCGAACTGATCCAGGAGCCAGATGTGGACTGGTGGTTGTGGTTTGATTGTGACACCTTCTTCATGAACATGACGGCACCTTGGAGGAGGATCGCGCGCGAGAGGGATCCGAAATCCCAAAACGGGAAGGTGTGGGAACGCCAAACATCGCGGCGGCACGGTTTCCCCGCGATAAGTCCAATACACTCCCTGGAATGATCATGGAAGTGGAAACGGCCCCTTGGATGACCGTTTTCCTTTGCAAACCGGTGTTTTTTCCACTTCCATGATGATTCCAGGGAGCGCACAAGAGATCTCCTTGTGGTTCACCATTTTATTGTTGGGCGTTCTAGTGAAGAGTTCAACTCGAGCACCTGTGCAACAAGTCAACCCAGCAACCACACCTCGGGATCAGTTGGTTCATCATGGGGCAAAGTTTTCAACTCTGGGTGGTGGTTTCAGATATTACGTATTATTTTTAACCTTTCCTTGGGATGATTGAACCCACCGACTAATGCTTTTCAAGGGATTTGAAACCACCAACCAGAACTCCATCTTGAGGTGACCATCGACTCGCTGCTCTGGCGTTACGGGGCCACCAACGAGGATGTGCACTTCCTCGCCGCTGAGGAGATGAAGCCGTTTCGGGCTGTGGCGGCTGCGGTCAGTGAAGACACTGGCTTCGGCGAGTTTCAATGTTTGCGGGTTGAAGTCCGGGGTGGTTGCCGCCTATTTAACGTTGAGTGAACGAAAGACGGTTAAATGCCGATGAATGCTAAGATGGATGGTCAGGTGGTCACTCATCCTCCACCTTTCCGGCGCCGAACAGCCAGGATGCGGCCATGTTGAACACCGGCAGCTTCCTGCTGCGCGGCTCTGACTGGAGCAAGCAGTTCCTCCAGCGGGTCTGGGGCACCGAGGCGGGACCGAGGTGGACGGGCGTCTCGACGGCTTGACAACCGGCTCAGAGGTTTGCGGCCTTCATGGGGCCCTTGGCCAAGTAGTTTTGATGTCATATGACATATATTGCATGTCTTTTTTCGCCGTTTTGCGATTGGAGGCCCCAATTCCAGCTGGTTTCGGTTTTGGGGGACGTCGCCCAGTTTGGGGGGATCAGTCAAACGCGGAAATCAAGCTGGCAGGCAGAGGGCACTTTCCACCACCAGGTAGGGGGCATGTGTGCCAACTTTGAATCAGTTTTTTGGTTGGAGTTTTTGTGTGTGTCTGTGTGTGGGACATCTGTGATGTCAACATAGGTCCCTACCGGCCCTAACGGCCTCCCAACAAATGGCCGAAGGCTGTTGATGCATGGTGGGTGAACCTGCGGGTCGGGCCCAGTTCCCCGTTACGCGCGCCGTGAGGACTCCGTTTGGATCCGGCACCCTTGGTCGCTTGGATCAATAGAGCATTCCCCAAAGTTTCTCATTTTTTCGAGGTCCATGCTCACTCTGGATGTTTTAAAGTTTACTCTTGATCCCTAAAGACAACGAAGACAACCGCCAAGACGACTGCCAAGACGACCTGGAATGGTTTGAGGCCGTACGTCCAACGTCTTTGGAGTGTTTGAGGGCCAGAAAGGTGACAAAACCATTCACTTGGAACGTCTAGACACTGTGGGTCGAACGGGGGGGACTTGAGCATGAATATGGATCAGAACTTGAAACATGCAATGTCGAAAAACCTCCATCCATTCTGCCCATGCTTAGCTCATGTGCCTTTTTTGCCGGGGTATGGGCGGTATAGGTCCCCCAAACCCAGCTTCGGCTCGGCGTCCTCCGCGACCCGCCCGGTCACCGTCGCGTTCACGACTCGGTTGGGTCGGTAAGACCGGTTCAGGTGGGAAAACGCTGCCATCATTTGGGACTTGCTGCGCGGCCTCTCCGAGCGCTTCCGCCAGGGCGTGGGGCCGAGTGCCAGCATTTATCCAGAGGAGGCTGGTGGGGTTTTCCGCAGTGCCTAGGGGGGTTTCTGTAGAGGGCAGGGGCAGGGGTCGACCTTGGGTGGTTTGTGAGGGGTTTCAACATGTGTCAAGCACAGATCTCAGGCGTTGTTGAACTCTGAAAGCGCAAAGGGCCAAGGGGTAAAGCATGCCATTAAAAGCCTGTAAAGAGAAAGTATTTAGTTTGTAGAACGGGACAAGGCGTGAGTGGAACATGAGGGAATTGGCAACGCCCTGAATCAAATTGAAAGACTAGAGTACTTGTACTACTGCAATTATCTTTGAGTGCACTTTGAATAAACATGTGAAATTTAAACATGGATGACTGTCCAAACGGGATAGCCTGTTCAGGTGCGAATCCTGCCACAGTTTGAGATGAATTCCTACCATCCCGCCACTGCGCAGCTGCCTGGATGCAAGCAAAACCACTCACCAGTGGCTACGTCATTCATTCTTCCATAGCAGGGGGCGGACCCACCTTTGCAGGGTTTTATAAGCCATGCAGGTTAAAGGCAATCTGAAGGATGGTGACCTTCAAGATCCTTCAAGTATATAGATGTGTCTCACCCTCACATATCGTGCCCCCCAAAATCTTCCACAAACTTCTCCAACTTGCTCAAGAAACGTCCCAAAACCCTCCAGAGCAAAGAAAACACCCGACGCTCCCCCCGTCGCTCGGTTTTAGCTAACCGCTACTGTAGGTCCCTGCACGACGCCTGGGCGCCCGGGAAGTTCGTGCTGGCCTTCAACGGCGTGCTCTCCAACACCAGCGCCTGGGCGGAGAGAGTTGACGCGCCGGGGCGGGGCGGAGGTGGAGGCACCCGGGCTCTCCAGTCCAACGGGGGTCCAACGGGGTTGAATGGGTCCAACGGTACGGGAAGAAGGAAGCGATCTGGAGCAGACTGAAAGATGTGTCGAAGAAACCCGACGATGGCGATCGGATGACAGCGGAGGACAATGAAGATCAAGATTGACTGCTTTTGAGACTCGATGCCGCGCAGCCCGTTGCGGAGACTCCCTGCGGTCAAGTTTGAATTGGACATCCTCTTCATATGGGGGGGTTTATTAATCAAGAGTCTATATACATTAAGTCATGGTAGGAGAACACTCACTTGCCCATCACTGGCACCCACTCGTGGTGACTGCATAATGGTGAGAGGCCTCAGAGGGACTGCATTTTTTGGCGTCATTAGTCATTAGTACTAGAAACAATTTGTAGAGAAGCAGGTCTTATATTGAAGTGTGGGTTCCTTCCATAAAACTCTTGTGAGTGGATCAGGCATTCAACCAGTTAGCTGACGGATTCCTGCACCATCTGAGGTCCAACATCAGAGCCCTGTACTATAGTAGCTATATTTCAGGGTGATATGGACCCTTATCCCTCTTGGATCTTCACATGAACTGGCCTGCAACTTACCGTGTTTTTTCACAAAAAAAACAACATCCGGAGACCACGGTGGTCACGCGATTTGGCACCGCCAGAGCGAGGTCCCAACGTGGTGCGAGCCTTGCTGCTCGGCGATGCCTGGGACTGGCCTTGGAGACGGGTACTAAATATTGGGTCTGTCAGTTCTTACCTGTAACAGTGAGTCAAAGACTATCACTATAAATCTTTGAGAAAGGCCTGCAACCTAACCATCATCATCCACTGTTACTGGTAATGGGATATAATTGATACATATTACAGTATATCATCACTGTAATTAACTCTATGTATATATATACACAGTACAAATTGAAACATATGTAAATCAATTGGATTAAACAACATGTAAAGCAACATATACAGGCCCTCACACAGAAACTCAGCTGCCTTGCATGAGAAGCGGCCATCGAAGGACGTTCCCTGCTTGATACCCTGTGGTGAGGTATGGCTACTACTACGAGCTGGCCTGCGAGCTTAACGGGACCAGCGCGGGTGGGGTGGGACCGGCATGTGTGGAATCCGCATGTATCGGGCGATTGAATAGGCAGGTAAGGTCAGGCTCCCGGAAGTTCAAACGGCGGTTCAGTGTTCAGATACTTGGTTCTAGAATTTCCCCAACCCGTTTCACTGAGGAAGCGTTTTTTCAAAGCATTGTGGGATTTGAATGGAGTTCCTGCCAGACTTTCCCATTGCACCATTGGCTTTCAATGCTTTTTACATACTCCCATATACTCCCAGCAGAACTTTCATGCTTGCCGCACCGTTGTCATGCTCCGCGCGGGGAGACAGACAGAGACGACTGGACCGCTCGAACCGCTCCCCCACGACGTGCAGGATCCCGGTGTCCAACGAGGACGACGGAGGTGCGATCCGGATCCGTCGTTGGGGGATGAGTCGGTGGGGAGGTGTCGGACCCTCGCCTGTTTTCTGGCGGAAGAAGGGTCCGGCCATGCGACGAAGGCGAAGAAAGGACGCTTTCGGAGCTTGTTCTTGGCCAATTTCTGGCCATGGCATCGAAAAACAGATCTCCAGGTAGAGAAAGAGCGTGGTTGGAAGATGGTTTTTGTCTTGAGCACATGGAGCACATGGATACGAGGCCAGGAATTAAGGAAAGCATCGTCCGAAGATGTTGTTGCGAGGTCAGACGATGTCTCGAGCATGTTTTCCGTGGTGAGCGCGGAAAACCATGTCAAGAAAATCAAGAAACATCTACGTCAGCTACGTTCCACCAGTCGTTTTGGGAACAGGTGGAAAGAGGGCCCACCTTGAGCCCTCACCCTCCTATCCAGCTCGGCAGGGAGTCTGAACGTGTTCGTTCTCGCTCGGAGAGTCCGTCCGGTTCCGCGGACGGGGACGGGGGGGGACGAGTTCGAGTTGGGGTTCGAACGCGGACGGCTGCGGCAGGTCCGTTTCGAACGCCATGGTATAGAATAAAAGCTGATAGTTTATTGGTTGTTTCGTAATTGGTTGTTCCGTCTCATTCGTGCTGGTGATTGGAAATCGATGGAAATCCATGTTCTGCTTCTCTCCAATCAACCGTAGACTAGGGATGACTAGTGGTGCGATCTTGACCCCATGCGTCGCGTGGAAGCGAAAACACGCTTGCCAAGCTTCTGGCCTTTGGCACCATGTTAGTTTCAGCCACATATGGCCGTGGGCCAAAACCTGGACCTCCGTTTCCCCAGGTACATTGACCATGTCTGGTAGTCCATTCTGTTCATTTTCACTGGTCAACCGGTCGGTCGTCCCGGTTTTGACTAAAGCAACAGTGGGGCTACCCGGACTTCTGCAAGCTGGGTCCGTATCGCGAAACAGCACATCTGCTCTTGTCAAAGCAGAGATCAATGACAAAATGATACAACATGATAAGGGATCAACATTTTTTTTCCACATTATTTATCCTTTTGTCATAGCACCATATAGTATCGTTATACCGCAAGAAACCATGAGATGCCAAGCAACCATGAGAACAACGTTCAGAGACACCCAGAAAGTCCATTTCCACGATCGCCCGTCCTGTCCTTCGCACCGCTTTATCGACCTTCCCAATGAACGAAATTGGCAGGTTGCGTTGAGACAGAGGAGCCCATGCCATGGTTGCCAAAAGGGTCCACAGCGGTGCGGTGTGCGCAGTACAGTTGTTGTTGATGATGTTGTTGTTGTTGTTGTTTTTGCTTGGGATCGTTGAGTGAATTCCCAGCATGGATGGTGAACCACCAGATCATGGCTGACTGTGGCAGCTGAAAGAACCAATATCTAGATCTAGACTTGATGATACTTAAAGTCTAAAGATTATGCGGTGCTCCAACCATTTCACAAAGTTCCTGAATTTGGGTTTGCTCCATTTTTTGTCACCGTGGTCATAGTGCAAGGGATTCTCAGACTGATCGACTGTTCAGCTCTGATCTTATTCTTTGTGCCTTAACTAGTTCAATCTTGTGCACAAGACTGCAAGTTGTCCTAATTACGCGCACAGTGGATAAACCTTTCTTCGGGGACTCAAATAGAAGAGGGTGGAAGGCTAAACCTTGATTTTCCAGAGACATTTCTCTGAAGTTTGCATGACGATGTCGGTTAAGTTCACTCCAACACCAAGGGCTTCTATGGTGGCTATGGCGTGGAGCCCTGTGTTTCTACAGCGGACCTAACCAGAGTCGGCATGTTTGTTTGTTTGCTTGCTTGTTTGAAGTTTTATGTTGTACATCATACACATATCACATATCCTAGTGTATCAGACAACATTGCATACATGCCAGTGTATAATGCATGCACAAAGGATACAGTATGTGCGCTTTACACCTTTTAGTGTTCAGAACTGATGTCTCATGTCGTGTGCCCAGCTTTCGAAGTCCCAATTCGACCTGACGCGGTTTCGCCAGGACCGTGCGGGAAGCGTCGCCCGCAAGAGAGATTCCTTTGGATCCGCCCATAGATTCGCTCATAGATTCCATAGATGCGTCTTAAGATATAAAAATGACCCCTCCCCCAACCACAGCAGCAACAACACCAACAGACAGTGTAACCGAATTTCATGTTCTCTTCGATTCCACCCGTTCTCATCCTTTTTTCCTTTCGGACCGTCCGTCTCTGCGATTGTTGTCCCCCCCCAGGGCCGTCCGGCGGCGCGCGGAGCTCTCGGCCGGCCAAGCCTCCGAGCGGTGCGAGCGCGGCGCCGTGGCGCCGGCGAATTGGACGACGTCGCCGGGCGCTACGAACGGGGCTCCTGGCCTTACTAGGAACAAGGACGCTACGAACGGAGCAAAGGGCATCGCTAGGAATGGAGCGATCGGATGCTACTAGGGACGACATTCGAGGGACATCGAGACCTGCGTAATGCCAACACCGGATTAATCCACCCCCCCCAGCTGGGCTAGTAAACTATAGGACACTAGCTAGCTGGGCTTGATTAATAAGGCGGGGTTGCTTAATCCTGTGTGCGCATTAAAGGAATGTGAGTCATGGAGACTCATTTGATGAGTAAAGGAGACTCATCCGAATGACTCAGAAAGGAAAGTCAAGGACTAATGACTAATCATGTGTAGACTCCTGATTTAGGAACACCCGCCTCCAATTGAATCGTAAATCCTATGTAAAACCTCTAGATATCGGGGGTTTTGTGAATCAAGAGTCTACATGGTCAGAACCTGGAATTTGATATGGTTATAGAAATCTTTTATTGGAGAGAGCCTGTTTTCAAAATTAAACAAAAGTCAAAAACATCAACTTAGTAGTCAGTCCCAAAAGTCAAAGTCAAAAACACGTCAAATCAGAAAGTTTCAAAGTCAAAAAAAGTCAATTGGCCCAGATCCGCGTGTGATTATTATTACTTTTTTTTTTAAATGTTTCTTTATCGACATTTTTTTGACTTTTGTTTGATTTATTTTTGACTTTTTCGTGATGTTTTCCAATTTTGATTATTCTTTTTTTGATTTGTTTTGAGTTGTTTTCATTTTTTAAAACATCTTTTTTAAACATTTTCTTGACATTTTTTTTTTTTTAAATTGTATTTTTTAAGTTATATTTATTGTTTTTTTTTGTTTATATAAAGACTTTTTCGAGTTGTGATCTATGCTTGACCATTTTTTTGTGATTTTTTCCGTTTGTTGTTTGATTCTTTTTTTTTTAAACGTTCTTTTTTTAGTCAAGGTTTCTGGCCTTACCATATGAAAAACTTTTATAATGATATGGAAGTGGAAGTGGAAGGTGGCCCTGAAAGGAAGCATGAAATCCGCTGCCGGAAGATCAGCGTGAGAAACGGCTGAAAAAGGTTGGAATTATTTGTGGTTGATGGGGATGGCTCTGTTTTGAAAGACATCCACCACAACTGGCAACCTGGTGGACATTCCCCTCCTGACAATCATTCTTCCGGAGGCTGAAAGGATAAATGATTGGCCAAAGCCCTTACCCAAAGGCTCATTATACATATATTAATATCATAATATGCCCTCATAGCTGGTGTTTAGGACCCCAAACATGTATA